CGTCCTTTTCATCTGATTTTAAATAAAACAAAATTGAATAAAAACTTTCCTTTTTTTTAACTTGCAAGCAAACAAATATGGAATTTAACTGACAATTACAAATATGAATAAGAAATACCAGGAAACATTTTTTTTCCATTAAGAATAAAAGAAAATGTTGGTAATACGTCAATGAGGCAGCAATCAACAACAAAATCCCCGACGTCAACAAACTGTCTTTAACATAAGACATGTATCCACACAATATGTCAAGCTCCATACAAGTTTAAAATTTCAATTTCATATTTAGGTTCTGTGCTCGCTTTAAACAATTTGTTTTTCAGTATTATGATAATTATTTATTGTTGTTCGATTTTCAAATATTCCCTTTTTTAACAGCTTACAATCATGGAATTTTTTAATGTGCTATGTTCCAGGATGGAAGTGAGAAAACATGTTTGATGTCTTGAAAATGAAGGGCGGGGGACTCAACATGGAGTTTAAGAATGTTCCTTTATGTTATTGAAAAAAAATGTTGGTTTTTATTAAAGTAATACAAAAATGGTTTGTACCACGATGATGAGTGGTCGGTACTTTGAGAGTTCTAAAGATGTCACTATTACGTTTCTAAAACAGCGTAACAATAGGCGAACAAAGGATTTTGAAAATGATTGAATGATTGATTGTTTATAGCTAAACGTCCAGTGGCAAATATTACATGCATGCTCAGGACGAGAACAAATTCACAATAAATACAATAGGTAGGTCCTGTAATAGAGGTCGTCCGAGATGAAGATAGACGTGGCTTGATACTTGTACATTCCGCAAACTGACGCCTTACTTTGGAAAGGGTTTTACGGCCAATGGGAAGATGATCTAAGTGACCATATTTCTATTCCCCAATCACACATACTTTGTCCTACAAAATGCTGGACTTTGCAAGAACAAATTGTGTACAAAAAGCGAAAATGATATTCGCACTAATAAATAAGCCGTACTATCAACCGGTGTAAAATGAATATTCTATTAGCAAAAAATCCCCCTCCAACTGAAAAACAAATGGTATACTAAGGCTATTAAATTTAATCATGTTTTTAACAAAGCAATGTTTGAGATTTGTCATATAAATAGGAAAATAACTTAACTCATAGCATTATAATAATCATATATATTCAATAAATGTAACTTCCTTATTATAATAAATATTCACAATAAAATCGAACCTGTTTTAAACTACATGTAAACATTGATTTTTATCATTGGGAATGTAAATGAGATTAATGTAAGTGTAGAGTACACTTACACCACACCAAGTTGAGCTCAATGTGAACACGGCCATTAGAGATACATTTGTTTCGTTTGATTCCTAAAGCATTCATAAAACGTATTTTTATCCAGATGAAAATTTCACAGTTCCTGTCACATATCGATGGTTTCATTGCAGCGAGTTAGATTTGAATGCGGAAGCGGTTGTGTGTTTGATTTTCAGTCTGCAAAAAGTTAGGAGTAAGATCAACGTCTTTAAACAACAAAAATGCTTGGCGATTAGATGACACAAGGATTTATCTGGACTGTTACTTTGTGAGTTAGCAAAAAGGAAATTCGACTCAGTGTATCCGTCTTGTACAAAAAAAAGTTTTACAAAAATACCGAACTCCAAGGCAAATTCAAAAAGGGGAAGTCCATTAAAACTGACAAAATCAAACGATATCAATCAAGGGTACAAGTGAAAAACAACTGCCATATTTCTGACTTCGTACATGTATTTTCCGAAGTGGTGGGTTAAACATGGTTTTATAGCTAGCAAAACATGGTTCATATGTATGTCAGATAAACTCGTACTTGTCTAAATATGTATGCATTATTTGCCGCTAGACATCAAACATAACACACCAAACTAGTTGGTTTCATCGTATGAGTCAGTCCATACAGTTGACAAATTGAAAATAAATGATTGGATGAAATCAGATCATAAGTAAAAAGACATTTTATCTAATTAACATACAATAACCCCTGAAATTCATAACCTATATGAAATGTATAAAACTGTATTCTTATTATTGTCTGTAGCTTTGACAGAAATGAACAAATTAACGTCGTAATTGTTTAAGCGGTGTCACATTAACTTAACTTTATCTGATTGAAAAAATATTTTGAAAAAGGGAAAAGAAATGAACAGTTCCGTAAACCACATTTATTTGTCAATGTTACATCAAAAGAATGTAATTTTCCATAGCTTATGCTTACTGAGGTAAAATGATAATTGCCGTGATTGGATTAGCCTTTTAATACGATATATGCAACATTTTGTTCATTACCATATAGTATATGAAATATACAGTGATTTTCAAAAAAAAGCATCACTCATCATAGTATGAAGGACATTCAAACTGGAGTAAACAGTTATAATATTGTACCATGAAGTACGGCATGTTTGGTTATGCTTATAACTTCATTTCATCAAAGTTAAAGCAAAATACAGCTCCTTTCCTAACTGTTGATACAAATAAACGGTTGATCAATTAAACATTATTTCTCAGAAATATACATACTATTTGTAAAGCTGAATTCACCAGATTTTACAATTGCATAAGAAATAATTGTATCAGTTCTTCGGAAAGATACATAGAGAACTATTTAGCAATTATCTAAAGTAATCTTATATTGAAAACAATATGGTCTCAATTTAAGACACTTTAGACCAATATCATAATCCTCCATCATAAATCAGTTTACTCCAAAATACCTCCCTACTTTAAAGATCAGTATGTACCTATCATCTCTTATACCTATACCAAACCAATTGCAACTAAAACTATCAATTAAAACACGTGTTGTAGGATCTCCACATTGGCGAATTCAATTCTAAACCTCCTGTTTGCACCTGTGTTAGCTCCTCATTTATATATAACCCTATTGGCTACGTTTTTATTTGCGACCTGCACATTGTCAATATCACTTCTCTGTGAAATGTGTAATTCAGTGGCCCGACGTATCGTGAGCCTAAATCCATCAATTGGAAATACAACTTTAAAATAATGATGGAAACAGTCGAGGATTGTGCTAGGCAATGGGCTAAACGCAAAAAAGAAAACGTAGAAACTCTTCCCAAATGGGTTAAGGCTGTGGGGTCGTTGATTCAAATTAGAATTAAAAAACTAAATGGGTCTATGAATGCACACACTACATCAATCTTCAGAGACCCAAACTGTCCTACCTCCATGACAACTTTGTTATTGTCCTCGCAGATCAATCCCCAAACAGCTTCGTAGTTGTGTGTTAATCACATTACATTAACTGTTTGATAAAGGAATTGTGTATTGACGTTTCACTTAGAAATTCAACATATACCCCTACGACACTTAACAAGGAGGAAATCCTGAATAACCATAGGTCTGTTCTATATTCATTTGGTATTTCAACCAAAGATGAAGAACTGGATTTTAATTCACTGTATTGGATACCTAAATTAATTTGCTCACACATTTTTGTCAATATAATGGAATGCTATATGACTGTCATACAAGAGAGAGGTTTAGCTAGCTATAAAATCAGGTTTAGTCCACCCTTTTCTACATAAGGAAATGCCTGTACCAATTCAGGAATATGACAGTTGTTTTTCATACGTTTCATGTGTTTGAGCTTTTGATTTTACCATTTGATAAGGGACTTTCCAATTTGAATTTTCCTTGGAGTTCGGTATTTTTGAAATTTTACTTATTACATAGGTTTCTCTACAAACAACGATATAGTGCTGGGTCCTTTAAGTGCTCAACGAAACCTCTTACTAAATTATTGGCATAGATTTTTTCAGCAATGGAAGTCGGGCTACAAATTTACACCTTTTCACTCTCCTGTCAATCATTAGGAGATAAACCATTAGCAGTTGGTTAATTTATCATGTGTGTAAACAAATGATTGCAACGTGTTTGTTGGCCATAACCTTGGTCAAACATTCTTGTCTAAATAGTTATATACATCACAAAAATCTACAAATTTTGTTAAAAACTGTTTAACAGATGTTGTTGGGGGACATGTGATTCTGATACTAGGTATCCAGATAGAGTCCAGAATGTTTTTTTCATACCATTTCCAACCCAAAAGACAAATTTTGATGTTTGTTTGAGATGGATTAAAGTATGTGGGAGACCAAATAACCAACTGAATATCAACAATATAACAAATGATACATATGTTTGTTCCAAGTTAAGCAATGAATTTATGATTCATATGATATTTTTGCAACAAATTCAGTATCTACTTATTAATATCAAAGACTCCTTGTATCTTATCTTAATCTAATAATAATAAATTATGCAATAAAGATATATGAAGTGAAATGAATACAAGTAAACTGGATATGATAATGAAATAGGTAAACAAGGATTGAAAGTGATAAAAGGTATATATTTAATTCTTTTTACATATATTCATTAACACAAATTAAATTGCATTCTTCTAAATTTGAAATAAAGCATTTCACTCTTTTTGTCTTGTAGCACTTCATTGATGGAAAACCTTATATCCTGATCCTTGTCCTGCTACAGGTGGAGGGGTATTTCAAGCAAGAAAAAATCAAAATAAAAAGAAAATTGAAATAATTGACATGAGACAACTGTTTCTGTTCCAAAAAAGTCTGCATTTGAAGATCAAAATAATAAAGGGTGTCAAACAGAAGAAACAGGTACATTACTACTCATATTTTGAAAATAAGGTATTGCATGTAATTTGTAATATTCACACAGTTTTACAAACATAGACATTTGAAATTCTTTTTCTGGTAAAACTTTTACAACAGCAAAATCACTTTGAGGGTAAACAATAAATTCACAATAGGGTGTTCCTGTAACTAACAACTGTTCTTGCACTTGATAATAATAATCATGTGATTTATTTATGATATATATATCTCCAGCTTTAAATAAATAAAAATTTGCTCAATCCAGTGCTTCCTCAATCGTCATGTCACGTACAGAATATGGACATTTGATTTCTATGATTCCAGTTTCTAAATTTGAGCACACTTATCCATCTGGGCCCAGTTGTTCAAAAGTGTCGTTAAATTTAACGATGATTAAGCCTAACGAGTCGTTAAATCTTAACGCAGTCGCTAACTAATCAATGCGTTAAATATTGTTGTTCAAAAAATGTTAACGACAATGTTACTTAACGCAGTGTTAAAATTTAACGATGTGATTAAAAAAAAAATTCCCACAATTCTTAGAAAAATTAAACTTCCTGTATTATTCAACATGGCCGAAAATATGTCTGTAAAAAGTACAAGGGAGAGGAAATTAAATTTCACTGCTACTGAGAGCAACCTAATAAGTGAGCTGGCTACAACCCACCTAGACCTCCTGCAGGGGAAGCATTCCCCAGAAGTAACCAATGCCAAAAAGCAGGAAATGTGGCTAGACATCACCAGCAAGGTTAATTCCTTGGGGGTCTGCCTCAGGACAGAGACAGAGGTCAGGAACAGGTGGAGAAACCTTACCCGTGGGGCAAAACAGAAGTTTACTAAAGTGCAGAGGGAAAGGTCACAAACTGGTGGTGGTCCTCCTCCTACCCAGCCTTCCCAGGCAGAGGATAACATCATAAACTGCATGATGGACACTGCCTCTTTCCGTGGAGTTCCCGGTGGTCAGGAAACTGCAATTGAGGGACCAGAAGGTAATAAATGTTTAAAATGTTTTCAGATTACTGTAATAATGCTTTTAAAACAGTCTTTTTATTCCGAAATTCACATGACATATTTATTCAAAAGGCTACTTATCGTCTGCAATAGACGTATTTACACTTGTATGCAAATTTGTCCGCCTTTACGTAAAATCACACAGGTTCCCGTAAACTTTGACATCATAATTCAAAACATTTGACGTCACAATTAAAAAGTGATTGTTGCCTGACGTCAAAAGGTGATTCGGAGTAGATCGAAGGTCATTCGGAGGCAAAATATAGCTTAATACCAAAAGTGTAAATACGTTTATGTTTACAAATATACAACAGGGGAATCCCAAATAGTGACCCTGACCTTCGAAATAAAAATAGATGCATTTTTATTGTAACAATATTGAGTTGTAGACTGCGACAGTTTCAATGACAGTCTTGTGTGCTTTCTTAAATCATTAATATAAGACAAATGTCCTGCCGTTTGTGTCAAAATCTCACCTTATGTAGCTTATTTGTTTACAATTCATTATTCCCCCCTGCAACTTGGCTGTCCTTGGCGCCGGAAAGAAGCCGCTTGTATCATAGCAAAATATTTATGGGGTGTTCGAGGATAAATTTTGTGCAACGTTGTTTTTTTATTTGATATTCATCCATTTTTGTGTGTTCTGTAATTTGACATTCATCCGTGCAAGATAGGTTTTGTGCATGTATTTATTTCCTGCTCATCATGAAATGCGTTTGTTTAAACATTCTCCAGTGCACGTACCCCACCTCCTTTTATCACCCTCATTCCTGTTTATTTCGGTATCGGGTCCGTTCGCCCTAATAACATGTTCGCCTTGGATCTGTTCGCCCATAGAGTCCGTTCGCCCTACTTTGGAAAAAATAATAATGTTCAGGGCATTAAAGTTGACTATATACACAAATAAATTTAGATGTCTTATCAAATTTCCAAGAATTATAGTAAAGCAATGTAGCATGGGTTTCATTATGCAATGCAACTTGTTCCATAATTTGAGTTAGAAAATGAATATTACAAAACAGCTTGCAGCAAACATTTGTTTTAATAGCTATCACCTGGGGAAAATTATTAATATATCAAGGATATTTTTATAGTGATATATATACTATAAAAATCCTTGTTAATACTAAGAATAATTTTAGGTTGGCCTAAGTAGGCAATGCCAAGTTCTGCAGCCATTTAAGTGCCTATATTCAAGTTTACTATTTGTTGCATAAAATCAGTTTCTCAATGGAAGTAAATGTATAATATTTCCTTCAGGTAGGCCCTCTTCCTTAGTAAAAAAAGCAAAAGAGATGAAGGGTCAAATTGAAGAATATCTTCAGAATTACCAGCCATTAAAATCATTGCCAAAAGTTGGAGATAGCCTGTTGAATGATTATGTTGACAACACTAAAGGCATCTCTGAGGAAGAGAGAGATGAATTAACTTCATATCTCAGCTTGAAATACAAAGACATTTTCAATATATCAATCAGTTCTGACATTCCGTCTATGATGCACAACACTATATCGTTCATAATCCATCATTCAGGAAACAAAGGTACAACTATTTTGTGAGAAAAAAGTCTTATCTTAAATTTCTGTCACCACTAAAAACCTAAATAACCTATATGATAAAATATTAATATTTTGTCCTCGTCTAAATTCTTGTTTTTGTATGGCTACATACGGTTTATTGATATGTTATATATTATACCATCTTCATTTTACACATACAATACAAATACAAATTTAATCACAGATAGAATATGTTGTGTTTATCTGAAAAGATATGGTAAGATATTTTTTTTTTTTTTGGGGGGGGGGGGGGGGGGGGCTCTTCTTAGGTTTGGTATTTCCTAGTTAGACTGGATACATCCGTAACAGGAAAAAAGTTGAATGTGAGCGCTATCTTTACTATGAAAAATTTGTGGTTCTGCATAGGAATATATTATTTGATTATACCACCAACAAAAATAGGGGCAGCCCCGTTATTCCGACGCCCCATTAGTCCGACACCCCATTGGTCCGACACCCAAATAGTCCGACGCCCCATTAGTCCGACACACCATTGGTCCGACACCCCAATAGTTCGACACGGAATAATTGAACAATATTTTAAATAAATGATCTTTATTTCAAGAGGATAATCCCATTAGTTAAAACTAATTCTCCTGAGAGTCCTCAAAATAATAATAACATATTCATAAAGTACTTACAATATTATAATTTTGCTTAATGTCCAGTGGCAAATGTTACATGCATGATCAGGACGAGAACAATTCAACAATAAATACAATAGGTAGGTCCTGTAATAGATGCCATCCAGGATGAAATAATGTCAATGAAACTTGGACTGCCACAGGACAATGAAAGTATAGCGAATAGGAACAGAAATTTGCTTTGCAACAGGCTCAGACAAAAGGCCACCGACGGCCCCTCAAAGAGTTTTTGCAATGGTTCTTAACCCACAGAGAGCGTGGCACTCTCTCTACACGAGGCATCAGATATAACGTCACAACTCTGACATTTGTTGAAAATTATACACCCGCACAACTAAACGGACGTCCAAATTTGGCAAGGGTTTACTGTCAGTCGGAAGAAGACCAAAGTGACAATATTTCTATTCCCAACTGCATTTTAAATATATATTAAAACTAACATGACCTTGCCCATCGAATGACTTAGAACAGGTAATGCAATTTATCAAGGTTGGTTGGTAGATATGTATTAGCGAAAATAGTGGGATATATTTACCGAAACAAAATGTAGAATGATTGAGACGCGGAGTAGCGAACATTTTGTCAAACTAAATATTATACTTTGTTAAGTTTTGTCGATTAACTAACATGAAGATACGCAGCTTGTATCTCTCTCAAAGCAGAGAAATAAGAAAAGTTAAGGCTCCAATTAGGCTTTACTGCTTAAACGATTGTATGTGAGATGCTTGCTTGGTTCAGTGGACAGAATTATTTTGAGAAGAACATTCATTTAGTTTGTCTATATGCAACAATGTTTGTACTTAATTGAAGAGCGAATTATTTATAGTTAATACCTTCAACTCTTAAGACAGTGTAAAGTTTGGCGCGTTCTCCGTAAGGAATCTGTTTGAGTATACGAGTTTACAATAAAATGCTCCGCTGGGCGCAGCTTGATACGACCGCAGAGGTCAAACCCTGAACAGTTGGGGCAAGTATGGACACAACATTCAAACTTGATACAGCACTGAATTTGGATTGTGATTAAATATTTGACACAGCATTGGTTTCTGACACAGAATGAATGTGGTCTAAGAACTTAAAATTTTTAAATTTACCTATTCAAACCATATCATTATTATTTGCTTTTATATATAAATCAGAAATAACCAATTTAAAATGGAAAATTAAAAAAAAAAAAACCTCCACCAAATTTTTTGAACCCCCTTATGATTCATCACCCCCCAAACTCAATCCCAGCCTTCCCTTTGTGGTATGGAACCTTGCAGTACAATTTCAGAGAGATCCATACACTTGAACACAAGTTATTGTCTGGAAACTAGAAAAATGTTTTTTTTTTGCCCCTTTTAGGCCCCTTATTCCTAAACGTTTTGGGCAATTACCCCCAAACTCAAACCCAGCTTACCATTTGTGATATGGAACCTTGTAGCACAATTTCATAAAGATCCATACACTTACACACAAGTTTTTGTCCTTAAACTTAGAAAAATGCTTATTTTTGGCCCCTAATTCCTTAACTGTTAGTACCATAACCCCCAAAATCAATCCCAACCTTCATTTTGTGGTATTAAACCTTGTGGTAAAATTTCATAGAGATCCATTCACTTAAACTAAAGTTAGAGTGCGAAAACCAATGTGTCTTCGGACGACGACGACGACGACGCCAACGTCATACCAATATACGACCACAAAAATTTTTTTGCGGTCGTATAAAAATGTGCTGGTAAATAGCTGGTATATTTTTGCCCATTATTCTCTGTTCTGTAAACCCCCATCCACACCCTCATGAAGTAGATTTTCTATTACGGCAGTTATTAACCTTTGTCAGACTATTGGGGTGTCGGACCAGTGGGGTGTCGGACAAATGGGGGTGTCGGACTAATGGGATGTCAGACCAATGGGGTGTCCGCATATCGGGGCGACCCCCAAAAATAAGCTCACTAAGACAAATACCAACCATCTTTTATTTTTTCTAATATTATGAATCCAAACAAGGAAAAAAATGTAATCATAATCGAGGGGCCATTGAGGGTGTGGATGGTTTTTTTCAGAATGGAAAATAATGGGAAAAAAAATAATAGACAAAAATTGACAAAAAAAATGTAAAAATAGAGAATAATGAACAATAGCATAAAGAATAGAGAAAATGGCCTAAACAATTTTAAAAAAAAGAAATGAAGAACCACCCATCCAGACCATCATGATTTTATTCTTAGATCACGGTAATATCGATACAAATATCTTTGATTTAAACGCTGTGTACTTGTTGAATTAATACCGTGCTAAAAAAACATTTTTCTTGAAATCATCTGAAAGATAAACAGTTGGCTTCTGCTAACAATTAAATACAAATTATGATTTTTATTTCCATTTTGTTGAAAGTACACAGAAAAGCCATTGGAGTCAACTATGTTTAGTCTGCATTTTTTTAGGGGTAAAAAATAATTGGAAGTAAAAAATAAGAGTGCAGAAATGAACATTCATCAAAGAAAATTGAATAAAAGATTTTAAGATTTATAGTTTGTTCTAATGAGTACACATACCCATTTCAGACCAATTAGAACACACTTTGCAGTCCAGTGTGGATGTGCAGTCCAGTGTGAATGAGGAGATGGAGGCTGTATGGAGGAATCGCCTGGACATTCATTTTAATGCCATCAGTGATTCCTCAGTTCCTGCTGCAGCCCCACTGACAGTTGTTAATGAGATGGTACAAAACAGGACTGACCTGAATGTTAGGTATACTCTAAACTCTAAGTACACAGACATTTGAAATTACAAGGATATAAATGTCTTCTCCGCTTTTAAAGTAAACTACATCTACATCACCTTGCGATAATATATAGTGGCATTTAAGAACATATGGTTTTGTTTTTGTTTTGCTTTTTTTTTAATTTATTTGCCTTTTTTACATTATTTTATTAGTACCAGCGTTAATATATAGCATAAAATGCTTGAAGAATAATATGTGTATATACTAAAAATATTCAGTCTCCCAAAAAATGTAGGTTAAACTGACCTCATTGTTGATACTATAGATCTTCTATTTATGAAGAATTGTTGTTATATCTCGTCCAATCGTACATAAGAACATATTCACAACAACCACAAGTCGCTCAAGCATAAAATGATAATTGAAGTGGTCCAAGACATAAAGCATCAATCGTTTCACTTTTTAAATGATTTTCGTAAAACATAAATTGTTTCTGAAAAGAATTGAAAATAGTGGGGATGGGGAGGGGTTTAACATTCACTAAAAAATAAATAAAATAAAGTTGATGTCTAATTAGTAAGTGATAGTAATATTCCCAGGTTAAGTTTCGTTTCATTGCAAAGCTATAAGTAAACCTTAATACAAGAACATAAACAAGTTTATGAAGCCTGAACAGACATGGATAAATAGATGTACCTGATACACTTTTATTATGTTTTTATATGCTATCCTCTTGTACACGTTGAAGTGTAATAATTAAATCAATGAAGTTCTATGCATATATACAAAAATTGGTCAAGTGGAATTCATGACATCTATTTTATGTTTTATCTCCTTGTTTTCTAGATCCGATGAACAGGAACCACCACAAAAAATAACCGAAGAAAAAGACAGCTGATGATGTCTACAGTCTGCAGTGTCAAGTTTTGGAGAGAAAATTAATTAAAACAAACCTCCAAATTCAGTTGTATGAAAGACTACACAGCAAGCTTGATGACAATCTTACTGCTGGGTTGCTGTCTTTCATGGAGCAGTAGAATATAAAGATTCTATTTCTAATGTTAACCTGTTGTTTTTTTGTTTTGTTTATCTTAAATATATATATATATTTATATAATGACTCTTTGTCTGGTTTATTTTTTATTTTCCACTGGCAAAAACCATTTCATAAACAGGAGTGCCCACACTGATATGTTCAACTGCTTTCTGAGGCTGATCACAATTCAATTTATGCAGAAAGTCTTTAAGATAAAATTATAACTACAAATATCACAAAAACTTTATAAATGACTATACGGTATATGTTTTATTCTTATGTGAGGTCAGGTGAACCATGTATTGGTGGCCTTCGGCTGTTGTCTGCTCTATTGTCGGGTTGTTGTCTCTTTGACACATTCCCCATTTCCATTCTCAATTTTACTTATTGATATGAAACCTAGCAATAATTCAATAGACCAAAAACTGTCTAACCTATAAATAATGATTGAGAAATTCACATGACAGCAAAAAACTTCGTAACATAAAGTATCTGTATACAATTTATGAAGGAAGCAGAACTTCTACCTCTTGAAAAATAAAGAGAGACAAAATTACAGAAACCAATTGTTCAGAGAACAATTGAAGGTCTTTCCACATCAAAGAAATTTTGAAAAGAAGATAGTTAATTTATTTTGATGCGATACATAAGTGGTTTCGATATACTTTTGAGTCATATAAGGGAGATAATTTGCTTCTTTCAGTGAATTAAATGTCACTTCAGGTCTCATATGATAGCTTTTTTTCACACTGATTCCAAAAATATATAGTTTGTATATACTTTTGCCTGTAAACCAGGAGATAATTGGCCACTTCCTGTTTATCGAAAGTCACTTCTAGTCTTTAGTGATAAGTTAATGTATCTACAATACAAAATATATGGATTCCTTTGAACCAAAATTTAGAAGTTACCACATGTTCAAATGACAAATTAATAGAAATATATTGTCAATATCTTGTACGGTTTATGAAAAGAAGTGAGAATAAGCCAAAATCAAAATTTAGAATTTGACCTTGACCCATTTTTCTTTTTTTTTTGGACCAAGGACCTCAAATCCAAAAACCCTAGGTCTCTAACACTTTTGGTTTTTCATTTACCATTGCAAATTACTTATATCAAATGCATAAGGGGAAATAACTCTCATATGAAGTCTCCAGATAGCTTCGGTTCAAATGATACCCTTAATCCTGAAGACATAACGAGCAATTTGGTAATATAAATTTGTCGTAATCTTTTACGGTTGCGAAGAAGTAGCAAACACAAGATAAATAGTGTTCGGGGAGATAACTCTTACAAAGAAAAGTATTCGGTTAAGCAGGGTCAGTTTTGAAAGCGCATAAACTGTTCGATATAATATACCAAATATCAAATCGACATCTTGCGAAACAACCAAACAGCGAAAGAAAAAAAAATTAGGCGGAAGAAAAAAAAAATAATCAGAACAAAATCAATAGGTCTTTCCATGGAAAAGTGGAAAGACCTAATAATAATCAGAACAAATACAATAGGTCTTTCCACAGAAAAGTGGAAAGACCAAATAATAACCAGAACAAATACAATAGGTCTTTCCACAAAAAAGTGGAAAGACCTAATAAAGTGGAAAGGTAATTACGAATTTAATGTGCGAATTTAATGTGTGAAGTACATCTGAGTGATGTGATCCCTCATTCTTCTTCCATCATTGGCTCCATTGTACACTGCATCTATATTAGGCATCTCCTCTTCTTGATCTTCTGGCAGTTCAGGCTCATTCATCCACAAAGCTATATTGTGCAGAATGGCACAAGCCATGATAATGCTACATACCCTTTCAGGTTTCATACGAATCTATAAAAGTAAAAAAAATATTAAAATTTAAAATGAACTTATGACATTAGCAGTCTTATTAATTTGACACTCTTCCCAAATCTTTATTAAGCCTTTTGTTCAGTGGTTGTCGAGTGTTCATGTTGTTCTTAGGTTTTTCCTTTTTTTCTATAGATTAAACTTGGTTTTCTTTTTGAACTGATTTACACTAGTCATTTTGGGCCCTTAACAGCTTGCTGTTCAGTGTTATACAAGGCTCCGTGTTGAATGACGTATAATTGACCTATAATTCTTAACTTTTTATACAGTGGCGGATCAAAAATTGTCATAAGTGGGGCCCACTGACTGCCTAAGAGGGGGCCCGCTCCGGTCATGCTTCAGTGATTTGCTATATAATCAACCATTTTTTTCCAGAAAAGGGGAGGCCTGGGCCCGCTAGCCCCCCCCCCCCCCCCCCCTTTCCCCCCCCCCCCCCTCTAACTCCACCTCTGTTATACATTGTGACTTGGTTGCAGAGTTGTCTCATTGGCACTCATATCACATCTTCTTATTTATATGGTCTTATATACATGCATTTTTTTAAATTTTAGTTTTTAGTTTTTTGACACTATATAATGAATCAAATTATTTTTTCTTCAAAATTTAACACGTTAAGTCATGGAGGGAATCTGCTTTTAAAATATAAAAAAATTGTCATTTGCTTGAACAGAATTATTTTATGAAAAAAAAACATTACCCCAATCGTAGTTAAATGGTTGTTCCCTAACTTGATTATTTTTTTTTAATTTAATTTAATACCTCTGAATGAAGTACATGAAAACGCCTTTTCCATCTCCCAAAGGTCCTTTCTATTACACATCTTGTTGTAGCATGATGCCTGTTAAACCTTGTCTGGTCTTCATTTGCAGGACGGGCATAAGGCGTCATGATGAATGGGCGGCATGGATATCCACTTTCCCCAAGTAAGATGCCACTTTCCCAGTTAGGTGTCTTTTCCATGTGTGTACATACCTAAACAATGAAACTGGTATATGTAAAACAAAATCATGTTTCAACTGGACAAATTGTCATGTAAATTAAGGGATGATAAAAATGAAAATATTTAAAGAAGAGTTCCAATATAAAAAAAGAAGATGTGGTATGAATGCCAATGAGACAACTCTCCACAAGAGACCAACATGACACAGAAATTAACAACTAAAGGTCACCGTACGGACTTCAACAGTGAGCAAAACCCATATGCAATGTCCGCTGCATTGCATATATGTTATCTATTTAAGATACAAGGGCAATAACTAAATAAAACAATTTAAAACAATTTATATATCTCTTAAATTAGAGAAATTAAGGCTTCAGATAATGAAATGTCATTACCAATATGATTGATTGTTCTAAAAGGCATAACTCTTTTAAAAATTAATTGCTCAGTGCTGTTTTTGAAACTCATCAAAAGCATTGATTATAAAACTTACAATATAAACTTCATAAAAATCTGGCAAGATTTGTACACATAATTAAGGGGTCCTTATGGGGCAATTTTCCATATTTAATCATTATTTCCAAGAGGCATAACTATATTAAAAATAATTCATCAGCGGTGATTTTTTAACTCGTTCAAGACACATAAAAATATTTTTTGTCAAGATTATGCATAAATTTGTCAATGAAAACATTTTTTTATTCTAAAATTCCCAGCCTTTATTTTATTTTTTTCTACAGCACTTCTTGGCCATTTAATAAACTCGTTCTGCCTCCTGCACAATGCAGCTGTGGTGTCCTTTACAACCCTTGACACTGTGCCTTTGTCCGACCCTTTAAAAAGAATTTTTTTTATTAAAACCATGATGACATAAGAAGAAATTGGCAACATAGATATTGAGGGTAAATTCGGTAATATATTAACATTAAAAACAAATAAATGAATGAATACAAATATAATAATAAAATCAATTAAATTCTTACCAAGTGTGTCTCCAACAACTTGTAGGAAACTTCTACTGGCCAAAAATCTTAGTGTAACCATGACTTGCTGTTCCACAGTGAATGCATGGTTTCTGTGTGTCCCTCTCTGTAAGTCATCCCTAACAAGGTCTGAGAGCACCAAAATACTACGTCTGCTGAATCGATATCGTGTCCTTAACTCCTCATCAGTGAAATCCAAAGATAAGCCATCCCTGTTGCGAAAATGTCGCGGTCTTCTTTGTTGAGGAACATTGTATAATGCTAAGCCAGCCATGTTTAACGCAGTCGTTAGTATTTAATCATGGGTAAAAATATGATTAAAGTTAGCGAGAGTTTAACACAAAAGTTAGCGATATTATTTTTGAACAACACTTAACATTATCGTTAAATTATAACGACACGTTTACGACAGTTTAACGCAGTCGTTAGCCTAACGACACTTTTGAACAACTGGGCCCTGGTGTAGCTCTAAGAAAACTAAAACTTGGATTTGAAACTAATCCACAAGCATGTAAATGGCTGTTACCACATTTGCCAGCATACTTTTCCTTTGCCTTAATCTCGTTAGCTATTCCATAGGAAGTTGATGCTAATGTAAACTGTTTTTTATTGGAAATAGAATTCAAAAATGTTTCCTTTATATCCCTTTTTCTTTTTGCCACTTTTGAAAAAATGGAGGCTGTGATTCTCTCTTTTTTTTGGGGCTATCCATTCCTCCAAATCAAACTGTCGTACAGTTTTTCTTTCCAACTCAATCGCTTCGTTGGCTGTTATTGGTATGAAGTCATTACAGCACTTATAGTTTTGATCAATTTGAAAATCACTAGCAATTAGAAATGCTGTGTTTCCACGTAGTTTAATTGGTGAAGTTTGAATCTGGCCATAATGTTGTAGATAAAAAGATAAAAATAAACAGTATAACATGGATGTCAATTAAATGAGATAATATCTAATATTTTTTTTCACAGTTTATTCAAGTTTAGACATCTTGTCCTTTCAATCATCAATACGGAACTTGGAGGAAGAAAAAAGTGGACTAATAACAGAAAATGTACAACTGAAAACTAAGATTGCTTCATATATTGAACAGGATTACAGAAGAAAGAGTTTTAAAACTCCACCTAAAAAGAAAAGTGTGAATGACAAGCTTTTTCAGTGGATAGTGTTTTAACTTCTAAGGTCAAAAATATATTTGAATACTATACAGGTCTGTCTTATGTAAGATTCACAATGCTTGCTAATTTCTTATTTCCAAATGACAAGTCAAACCCCGGTTCATATAAGGAAAAATGAAAGGAGGTTAGAGAGATGAACCCGAAGGAACAGCTATTTTTAGTTCTATGCCGTTTGCGTAATGGTTTGTGCATCTTAAGGATTTGGTATATAGGTTCAACCAAGAAATCAAATATCCACGAAAATGTTAGTTTTCCTCAATCCTAGAAAATTGATATTCACGAAAAAAAATGAATCCACAGTATCCATTATCTGTACCTTAAATTGGGATTTTTAACATACTGGCCACATAGAGATGAAATAATAAAAAAATATGACAAAGCAGTACAGAGATGATTTTCCAACTTGTCTTGCAATTATAGACTGCACTGAAATCAGAACAGAGAAACCAAAATAATTAAAATCCCAAAGTCAGTGTTATGCAGATTACAAGTCATCCACAACTTTGAAGTCGCTGGTTGTAACTGATCCAAGGGGCTTCTGTGATTTTTGTGTCAGACTTATTTTCAGGTTCCATATCTGCATTTTATACTGCAAGTGGATTTTACAAACTATTGCAACAACTCAAGGACATAAGATACATACAAGACAATGACAGTATAATGGCAGATTAAGGTTTTAGAATAAAAAAAGACCTTCATGAATTAAAAATGAAACTAAACATCCCACCATTTGCGTCTTTCGCAACTCAGATGTCGGCAGGATATGTGACCGTTAACTCGTATAAAAGCTTCACGCAGAAAGCATATTGAACGCCCAATAAATTAAATAAAAACTTTAAACTAATAAGCAGAAGAATTCCAGGATTTTTATTTCACAGTATAAATGAAATATGGACAGTTTGTAGTCTTCTTACAAATTTTCAGGATATTCTTGTTAAATAAACCTATTGATTATGTTTAATTATGTGTTTATGTCGTATACAAGTTGCGATTTTATACATGTTATAAAATGTACAGAAATAATGTACATGTTATAACTTGTTCAATGCAAAAATACAAGTTATAGCATGTACAAAAGTACTCGTACATGTTATAACATGTACAAAATATTTCTTAAAATGGTTTTAACTTGTACAAAATTTGAAAATAAAATGGAATGCTGTATTTAAAAAAAAACAATAAAGCAGAATATACATTTCAAATTTATAGAATAATAAATAACAATAATCAAAAACTCAGAACGTATTGCTTGACGGCTTATTTTGGCATAATGCGTTTTCATGTCATTGTATGTTTTAAGCAGTCAACCATGGCCAACAGCAGTTTGACTCTGTTTGATAATAGCATACATTTTCTCAATGGCAACAAAGTATATAACTGTTTCATCTAAAGTTTCTAATAGCAATGCCTTCAAATTTTGAATTATACCCCTCCCCCTTTTTTTTAACATGCAAATAATAAAGCAAGGTCTTCTATGCATACTCTATCAAAGCCAGAGAGAGAAAATGGTTTTTATTGGGCCACGTTTAACTACATGTATGTCTTAAAAGGTATTAAGTAATTATGAAAACTATTCATCTGGTCATTAACTGTATCAGAAAGGACAAAACACACTAACATGAAATAACATTAATAAATAACTTTGGAATTGTTGAATCTGCTCTTCAATATTTTTATCCTTGAGCATAACTGATGTCAATCTTATGCATCAAATTATTATGTTGTTATAATAAAAAATATCATTGCATGAGTCGAATGTAATTTTGATGTTTTAAATTTCAATCCTATCCTTTGAAAACAGGGTATTGTTTACAGAGGATTTTTTATAAAAACTATTTATCGGGTCATTAACTGTATCAAAAAGGACAAAACACACTAACATGAATGAACAATTAAAAAATGATGAAAATATTATTGAGAATAATGACATGTGTTGTAATAATAAAAACATATCCTAATTTAAAAATTTTGTACAAGTTAAAACCATTTTTATGCAATATTTTGTATATGTTATAACATGTACAATATTTCTATACATGTTATAACATGTACAAAATCGCAACTTGTACACGACATATATATTCTTTGAATCACTGATACATTGCTTACATGGAAAAATAAAGATGATCCTGTTTGAACCTGGCCAAGTTTAGTTGGTACTGTAGGACTATTTTCTTGAAGTAAATATGATAATGGAATATTTTTGTCCTCTTTCAGTGTCAGGATTTCAGTAGGCGTTGCAACTGGGATACTTTCTTCATGTATTTGCGTGAAGATTGGTTTTCTCTTCCTTTCGGCTGGTAGTTTTGTTGGGTCTGCAAGTGTCATTGAGACAACAGGCTGAGGTTTGATTTTTTTTCCCTCTTGGTTTATGCCATTGCTGTGGTAAACTTGTAGACGACAGTTCAGCTGGAACCTATTTGAATTTAAATTCTGGTAATGTGCAATTGTATGCACTAGTCTTACAACATGTGAGCATGTTCCGGAAAAAAAATATTTTGTTGTAATATATATCATGCATTTGTGCAGAACATAGAATATAAATATCTTTTTTTATCTTTTTGCTCAAATTATAACACTGAGTTTTGATATCATAAGTTGATAAACTGATAAAAATTAAGTGCACAGCATGCTGTGTAATACTATTATTTATGACTAAAACATGGACACATGTAATCATATTTCATGTTGAAGTCTTGCTGTGTTTGTTTACATATACTACCAGTTCTTATCATTGTTACACTAATTAAACATCCCAATAACCAGTTAATACAAAATATTAATAGATAAATACACATATTTATATAAGAGATTGATATTACTTACCCAGCTACACATGCACATTTGCTATCAAAGATGGATTTCTCATCTTTCCTCACAGTAATGTTTACTTTATGTGGATGTTCATTTTTCCTCATAGATCTATAACATTTTGCTGCAATATCAACTACTTAGTCATTAACTTCACACGAATTTACACTATGAATATATCCAAGGGTGAAATAATTATATCCTTGTTCTTTGGATCTTCCACTTAAAGGTTTATCTTTAAAATATCCAATGTTGGTAAAACATCTAACTTTGTAGTTACCGCCATCTTGTTGATTAGCTTGACCTAGGATGCTGGGTTGCTATGTGTTGTTAACGGAGGCGGGGCATAGCATGGAATAATGGAAAAGTGTATTGTGAAACTATATACTCTAGGGGCGGCGCAATCAGATGTGGATACTTAAACATTCGAAAGATCTGTAAGAGTACATTCAATCTAAGTATCTTTCCTCTTGCAATAGTATTTAAACAGTTGACCTTTCTACCATTTACACAAGTATTCCCGATTCCAAACTAAAAGACAAATTGAACGAATTGGTCCTTACTTGTTTCATTAAGATAATGGCCAAAATAGATACAGGTATATTGTCTTAGTCAGAGAAAAATCGTACTTTGTAAAAGGATAGCCTTGATTCAAACAAAAAATTCTTTGAAACTGATATTCTCAAGATGCTTGATTTCTTGATTGACAACATATTTGTTACGTTTGGAGGACGGTTTTTTTTAAACAAACCATCGGCATTCACATAGGAATCAACTGTGCTTTTCTTCTTGCCGACTTGCTTCTTTATTCATATGAGGCTGACTTTATGCAGGAGCTTCTTAAGGCGAAGGAAAAGAAGCTAGCATTGTCTTTTAACTGCACGTTCCGCTATAAAGATTATATTCTTTCACTAAATAATTCAAAGTTGGTTGACTATGTTGAACGCATCCATCCCATCGAACTTGAAGTAAAGGATACATTATATACAGATCAGTCTATCTCATATCTTGACTTACATTCAGAAATTGATAATGATGGTCGGTTGAGAACAAAACTTTACGCCAAAAGAGAGGATTTCAGCTTCCCAATTGTTAACTTTCATTTCTATGAAGCAACATTCCGGCAGCACCTGCATATGGAGTATATATATCTCCCAGTTGATACAATATTCCAGAGCTTGCATTTCCTATCATGGTTTTCTTGAAAGAGGATTGTTGCTTATAAGGAAGCACGCTATTGAACCACGAGTTCAAAGTGGTAAAGTTGAAATCATCTTTTCGAAAATTCTACGCACGCCATCACGAGTTGGTTGACTGTTATGGAATATCTGTTTCACAGATAACGATGGATATGTTTCAACTGTTGTAAGAACCCTTTTTTCCTCGAATGCGACCTACCGAAG